TTTTTTTTTTTTTTTTTTTTTTTTTTTGGTACGAGGGATTGAACTTGGGTTCTTGCACTTGTGAGGCAGGCAATAGAATCACTGAGCTAACTATCTGGCCCTGCTCTGCTCCATCTTTGCAGGCTCCAACTTTATTGGTGCTTCTTTCCTACCCAAACTGAAACCTCTTAGAATCATTCAGCTCTGCCTTTTACTCTTGATTCTCAAAGTGGAGCTGGCTAAAAACCACCATCAACAAGCAAATGATAGAAATAAACCCAACCTCAAATTGGTCTAGTCCCTGAAATTTTTGTCCAAAACAACATACAGGGTGAACACTTATATTTGGAAAATCTGATATGTTCTAGTCTTGTGCACCTCCTCCATTTTTTTTGTTTTTGTTTTTGTTTTTGTTTTTTTTAGTACAGGAAATTGAACTCCTATCTTGAGCTTGCAAGGCAAGCTAAATCCCTGGCCCTACTCGTGCACCTCTTTTTGATGGTTGAATATTTACAAATTTTGCTTCATGTACAAAGTTTTAAATGTTAGATGTTATGACTCTCAGGGTTTGGGTATAAGGTATATATGAAACAAAAATGAGTTTTGTATATATACTCACCACATATTCATGATAACATATGGATGTGCAAGTATTTCAAAATCAAACATGGTTTTGGTTCCTAGCATTTAACATTAGGAATACCCAAATGTATTTAAGACTTTGATATTTCAGTGTTTGCCAAATACCTAACATGGTTACAGTATATTTTTTTTAATGGAACTGGGATCAAACTCAGGACCTTGTGCTTGTCAGGCAGGTGCTGGTGCCACTGAGCCCTGGTTACAGTATTTTAAAAACACACATGATAAAAGTGTAGGGAAAGTGGGAAGGGGAAGGGAAGGGGAATAAGGGAAAAGAAAAAAATGTGAGAAAATGAAAAAATGGAATTAAAGTGTTTGTAAATGGGGAGGGGGGTGAAGGGAAGGCAGGGATAAGGGGAAAAAAATGAGAACCAAGACCTGTCATGTAGAGGTACAAGATCCCAGTAATGAATGTAACTGTACTGTATACCTAGAATGTACCAATAAACTCAATAAATAAAAATAAAAACACACATGAATACCACTGTTGACAGTAATTGTCCTTGAGTCATCTTGCAGAACATTCAGTGCACTCATGTTAAAAAATTATCACAGGACCTAAAACCAACACTTCTAGTAAATTATGAATAAACAAAATCTTATTAATGTCTTCCCCCTCTTCCTCTCTCCCTCCCTCCCTGCCTCATCTCACCCCCCAATAGGACTCAAGTTGTAGACAAACTGTGAATATAAAGAAGGTAGTCAATTTGGAGAAACCTTCAACCAGACACCAGAGCATGTTGTAAAGAAAACTCCCTTTGGAATATCACCTTGTGAAAACTTTATGTGGAGAGGTCCTCATTAATCATTCTTCCCTAAACGTGCCCCTCAGTTCACACTGTATGCCAACCTATCGAAAATGAGGAATGTGGAGAGAATCCTTGCGGACGTAGACAAAATGAGAAAGCCCAAGACTTTCAGAAACTTGAAAAGACTCAAGCTGGAGAGAAATCTTATGAATGTAAGCAAGTTGTGAATGGCTTTACTCACTCCACTTCTCTCCAAAAACATGAACGAATTCACAGTGGAAAGAAATGTTGTGTATGTAAACAATGTGGGAAAACCTTTGCGAGTTCTAGTTCCCTTCGAACACATGAAAGAATTCCCACTGGAGAAAAACCCTACCTGTGTAACCATTGTGGGAAAGCCTTTGGTCATTTTAGTTCCCTTCAAAGACATGAAAGAATTCATACTGGAGAGAAACCTTATGTGTGTGAACATTGTGGGAAAGCCTTCACTGATCACAGTTCCCTTAGATATCATGAATGGTTTCACCATGGAGAGAAGCCCTATGTATGTAACCAGTGTGGGAAAGCTTTTATTCTGGTACATTTCGATAACATGAAAGGATTCACACTGGAGAGAAGCCTTATATGTGTATGCAGTGTCAGAAAGTTTTCTTACAATTTCTTACAATGCCCTTCAAAGCCACAAAAAACTTCATACTGGAGAGAAACCATGTATACATAAGCATTGTGGGAAAGCCTTCACTCATTCTCGTTCCCTCCGATACCATGAAATAGTTCACAGTGGTAAAAAACCCTATGTGTGTAAGCAGTGTGGGAAAGCCTATACTCATTGCAGTGCCCTTTGATACCATGCAATGGTTCATGGTGGAGAGAAACCATATGTATGTAAGCAATGTGGGAAAGCCTTTAGTTCTTCCTCATATATTCAGTTACATAAACAGACAGACTGGAGAGACACCATATGTACAAAAGCACTGGGGAAATGTCTTCTTACCTGTGACTCAATTTCAAAAGCATGAAGAGTCTTCTAGTGGAGAGAAACCATATGGGTGTAAACAGTGTGGGAAAGCCTTCCTTTGGGAAAGTAATTTTCAAAGACAAAAAAAGTTCATAGTGGAGAGAAACCTTATAAATGTAAGCAATGTGGGAAAGCTTTTCTTTGGGAAAGTAGTTTTCAACAACATAAAGCAGTTCACAGTGGAGAGAAACCATATGAGTGTAATCAATGTGGGAAAGCTTTCCATTGGGAAAGGAGTTTTGGAAGACATAAAAAGTTGCACAGTGGAGAGAAACCATGTGAGTTAAGCAATGTGGGTAAGCTTTCTGTTGTATTAAACCATAAAGGCAGAGGGAAGAATCAGGGATTTGGCTCAGTGGTTCCACCACCTCCCTCACAAACACAAGGGCCCGAGTTCAATCCTGCTACCAAAAAAAATGGCAGAAGGGATATTAAGCCTATTTGTGTAAGCAATATGGAAAACCACTAAATTGTCCAGTTCTCACACTTCATTTCTCAGATATGGAAGAATTAACAGAGTAATACTAAATATAGACTATGGGGAGTCTTCATTGTCAGAAGACCTTTCTAGTACTCATGGGACTGTACAAGAAAAGATTTATATTAGTGTAAAACATGGAAATTCTGGTTATCTTGCTTGAGTCCCAGATGTAACAGAGTATGGAGAAAAACCTTGACTAGAAGAAATGTGCAAAGGTCTTCATTTGATACATGTGTGAATGCACAATGGATGAAAGTCCTTTGAAGATTGAGGGTCTAACTCTAGTGCAGGGTTCCCTTGAACTAAGTAGCTCAGTCTGGACTCACATGTGCAGTGGCCCTCCTGCCTCCTGTGATTACATGTGTGCACCACCACACCAGGCTTATGTCTCATTCTTAAATATCTGGTCTATGTCTATCTTATTAGTATTTTTCTAAATAGGCCTTAATCTGAACACTTGTGCCAGGCGTGGTGGTGCACATTTCTAATCCCAGCACTCAGGATGCTGAGGCAGGAGGATCACCATGAGTTCCAGACCAGCCTGGGCTACACAGTGAGTTCCAGGTCAGTCTCAACTACATAGTGAGACCCTGTCTCAAAAAAACAAACAAAAACAATCTGAACACTTGTGCCTGTCTGTAATTCTACCAAGAAAGCCGAAGCAGATAAATTGGTGCCCGGAGCTGGATACCCAATGTTTTTGTTTTTATTTTTATTTTTTTGGTACCAGGGATTGAACTTAGGTCCTTGAGCCTGCGAGGCAGGTGGCAGAACCACTGAGCTAAATCCCCGGCCCCTCCCAATGTTTTTAAACAACAGCAGCAAAATAACTAGGTGCATTAAAGTGATAATTCTATAAGTTGTTGAAATAGTAAAGGAGTTTAGTGTTTTAAAATTGAATTGGGTACAATGGACCCCCAAAATAATGGAGGTTACATCCCTAGAGTACCCTCCAAATGTGAAAATAATCATGAATCTCAAATATGGTCAGAAAAGTGCATATAAATGCCTATTTTTGTAGTTTAAATCCTAACTATGCTTTCCTCCACAGTTAATTCAATAAAGCCTTAGTAGGTGCAAGGAGTTTTGGCAGGATCTTAGGGATCTTAGGGCTTTAAGAAGAACAGAACCAAGAGCACTTGATAGCTACACACAGTATAATAATCTGTTAGGATGCAGGAATGATGGTGTATCTGCTTTAGATGGGTTACAGGGCAGCACCCAACCAGCAAGAGCTGAAAACTCTTAGATTGAGTACTTCTGATTTTGAGTCATTAGTGTGTGCAAAGCAATTAGGTATTTTCCCATTATGTAAGTTGCATTCAATAAACTAAAGTTTTTATTTTTTGATACGGGGATCGAACTTGGGTCTTTGCACTTGGAAGGCAAGTGGCAGAACAACTGAGCTAAATCCCCAGCCCCATGCTTAAAATTTTAAAACATACATGGGCTTGTAATTTGTCCTTCACTCTTTGTACAAAAGATAACTGGCTGATGTGAGTGCTGTCTTGCCAGAAAGCATCAGGAACATACCTGTTGTCACATGGGAGGTAATGAATTGTGATAAATCTGTACATTCCATATCTCAGTGTGTTTCATTAAGAAGAGCATTGATCAAGGGCTGGGGATTTAGTTCAGTAGTTCCACCGCCTGCCTTGCAAGCACAAGAACCCGAGTTTGATGCCCAGCACCCCCCAAAAAAAAAGAGCATTGGTCATAGAAGTTCTGACAGGATTGGTGTTTCATTGATTACTGTTCATTGTGTAATTTCTCTGTTGGATGTACTGAGGAGTCATAACAGTTCTATGTTTGGCAAGCGTTATAATTCTTATCTGGAAGTCTGCATTCAATACACCAGCCTAATAAACATGAGACCTTTGTGTAGCCTATCTTAAACATCAGGTCAGTCATATTAGCATAGGATTGGGCAAAGTCATCTAAGATGAAGTGTATTTTAGAGTAAAATGTTGACTGTCTCCCATAATTTATTGAATATAGTCCACTGTAGAGAGTCGGTTTTTACACCTGAGAACATGACTCAGTGTTGTGAGTGCTGCCCAGCATCATCACAAAGTATGATGCTGAATATTGCCACTTGGCATGAGATCAAGCCTTAAAAATTGAAAGCATTTTATCTTGGGCATATTCACTCTTACACCATCATAACATCTTAATGTCATAATTTGGACACCCATTCCTCATATTTGTTCAGTCTTATAGCTGTTAAAATATAAAAATTTACTTACTCATTAGCATGCTTATATTACTTAGTCTTGTTTGTGTGTGTGTGTGAATCTTAGGAGAACAGTGTGATATGGTGCATCATCAGTATGTGAATCTAGAAAGGGAAAGAAAGCATCACTACTGCAGTCAAGTTTTTGCTTAAACATTAATTATGGTAGATCTCAACCATGGCCACGTTGTAGAGTACACACAGAACTGAGCACAAGTAATCCAGGTGCTCTGGGGTGAATATAGAACCATGAAAAAACTAATTTTTACACTACCGGTGATACTGTTTTTGTGAAAAATTTACATGAATAAATAGTAAAATGCATGTGGGAGGCTGAGGCAAGAGGAACCCGAGTTTGAGGCCAGCCTGGGATACATAGTTAAAGGCCAGTCTAGGGCCGGGGATTTAGCTCAGCGGTTCGGTGGCCTGCCTTGCAAGCGCAAGGACCCGAGTTCAATCACGAGTACCCAAAAAAAAAAAAAAAGAAAAATAGAAATCATCCAAGCCCAGGGATTTAGCTCTGTGGTTCCAGCACCTGCCTCACAAGTGCAAGGACCTGAGTTTGATCCCCATACCAAAAAAAAAAAAAAGGCCAGTCTAGGCCACATAGAGAGACCTTGTCTCAAAAACCAAAAATAAGCTGAGCATGGAGGCACATACCTGTAAATCTGACAACTCAAGAGGCTGAGGCGAGAGGATCACCATGAGTTGAAGGCCAGCTGAACTACATAGTGAGATCCTGTCTTTTAAAAACAAGGAAGTAGCTGGGGATTTAGCTCTTTGCTTCTGCCCGCTTCACAAGCACAAAATCTCAAATTTGATCCTTGGTACCAAAAAAGCAAGGAAATTAATTTTTTTAAATAAGTGATAAAACGTCTTTTGGACAGAGATACAAATAAGAGCTGTAATGGGAAGTAGACAGTGACTTGTGAAGAGTGTTGGGATGTGTTAATCTGTGAAAAGTTATGTGTCTTAATCATTTCATGATGTTTCCTGAGTTTTATATTCCTTTTCAGCCTTTCATATACTCTGCATAAGAAATACAATATTGATACAGTCAAACCTTGAATTGTAAGTTGGTCTGTGAGTGTTGCACAATGAACAAACATTTCTAAGAAAATTTAACCTGATAAATGAGCAATGTCTTGGCAATATAAGTAGTATGCCATGCCAAATGTCACATGATCACAACTAAATCTGTGATTATAAGTGCTTTGTATTAACAGCAGAAATGAATTATGCTCACAAAACAAGGTTTTACTACATCTAGAAAATCTTTTACTATAAGCATAGAAACTAATTTTAATTCTTCAGAACCACTGTAACCAACAACAGTGACAACATGTAAGAGGACTAACATTAGCAAAGAAGACTGGATAATGGCTTTGCTCTGGGACTTTATTGGTGAGAAACAGAAGCTGTCTAAGCAGGTCCTTTATGAAACACAAAAGTGACACACATAATGGCCACAGCTGCTAGTTTGGTGAAAACAGTATTATATGAAGACAGGTCATATGCATGTTATTGAGAAGAGTATTTAATAGCTCCCTCTTGTCTTGGAAATCTGAACTTCAGGAACAAACATGGGTATCCTTGCAAATAATCTCAAGTTAAATGAAATGTTTCTATGAACAGTTCCCTCATCAGGTTATTACTACAAGTTTTGTCATATTTGTATACCTACTCACTGAACATAGTTCATGAGGTATAGGAATATAAACAAGCCCTACACTTTCTCATATAAGGGAACTACTAGTTTATATATTCCACTGAGATTATTTATTAAAAATGCATCTTTTGCATTTTCCCCGCCACTACATTTTTTTGTTTTGAGTCTTGTTTCCTGTTTAATGATTATTTCTCATACAGTGTTAATGGCATCAGTTTCTGTCCCTTCATGTCAATATACACCTACTTCAAAATCATTTCCTTCTGTGATGCTTCAATTTTGGAGGGGTCCCATGCAGTTTAGGCCAGCCTTGAACATATAATGTAGACCAGCCTGGCCTCGAATTCATGGCGATCCTCCTGCCTCAGCTTCCCAAGTTCTACCATGTATTTTCCCTTATGAAGCTGGATTGTGGGAATGAGGCAGCATAATCCTACTGTGTGCCACAGTACTAAGATTTTTTTATTCTTCATCGCCCTGTTCTTCTTCAGTTGTTCCTACCATCTTCAAGGTCATATCTATTGAGATCAGCACGAGCCATTCTCCACATCTGTTTCCCACCTCACAACAGTGGTAAGACATTAGTTTTTTGCCACTGTTTACATCTAGCCAAGGCCCTCCATTGTTCCCTACGTAGGGCTATTCTGGTGCCCAACTCATAAAGCATTCATCCCTTCCTTACCGCAACCCTTTTCATCCTCAGAAATAAGGGCCTGAAGAACCTCATAAATGAAAGCATTTATAGAAAATCCTCTCCATAAAGCTCCTGGTGGTCATCTTGGAAGAGGGGTAATCAGAACAAGTCATGGGGACAACATTTTCTATTTCCTTTGGACTGTCAAAAGGATTCATGATTCATGTATGTGACAATACATGAGTTGGTGTTTGGCACATGCCAGCTCTTTGTTTCCTCATGGTGCTCAAACAATCATGATCTTTTGGGCTGATGTGAAGAATTCCCTCCCATCTATCTATAAAGTTTATCTACCTGTAAAGTTTCGTCTATACACAGGCATTCTCATGTGAATACATGAGTACTCACATATATAGTTCTTGTGCACAATTAAGAAATATCTATTTCCTCCAATATAAGAAAAAATAACTGCTAATAAATTCATGACCCAGAGCACCACTATATTCAGTGTTTCACAAGTATTCTATCTCAAGAAGAAATGTATGAGAGAAAGTAAACTATTCATCCCAGAGACAAATGCTATTGATAGCTCTTCACTTCTTTGAGAGTTATTTTATCAGTTAGGGTCCCCTAGAGGAACACATTCAAAATAAAATATATGATTATAAAAGGGATATATGCTGGATGTGATGGTGTAATCCCGGGACTTGGGAGGCTGAGGCAGGAGGATCAACCTGAGGTTGAGGCCAGCCTGCGCAACATAGGCCAGGCTGAACTATAGAGTGAGACTGTCAACAAACAACAAAAAAAGAGATTTAGTTAGCTTACACAATTAGGGAAGTCCAAGTGGCTGGCTGCTGGATCACAGATGTAAGAATCCAAAATAGCTGCCTGCACATTGGAGAGCTGAAAGATTCAGTAGCAGTCAATGATTGAGGGACAAGAATCTCACTGAAAAGTCACCAGCATGAGTTTGTGCCAGAAGT